AAAGAATCGTTGTCCAGAGAGAGAGAGAGAGAGAGAGCGGAGATGGAAAAAAAGAAGACGTATTTTCGATTCTCTCTACTCGCTCGGTCTACGACGTCGACCGCAAACGATCAGAAATAAAAATATAAATACAGGCGGAGAACAGGTCGGATATTACACAGGCAGGAAACGGGCGCCGTTTAGGCACAGCGTTTTAGGAAACGCGTAGAACGTTTAATGACTACGAAAATTGATCGAAACCGATGGTATCCAACTACTCCACCCTGTTAGCCCTCTTGCAACGAGGACAAATGACAACCCTTCTTTCGTCGTACGCGAAATATGAAAAATTGTATTCGCACTAATAAATACAAGTAAACGGAAAATTTAAAGAAACGAAGAATACGATTGCGCGCATCGAGCCGATTCGAATTTATTTTTCATCATGAAAAGTCATGAATTTTCATCGAGGCACCGTCGATTTTCGATTTCCCTCGACGATCAGGAAAAAAAGAAAAAAAAAGAAAAGCGACGTTTTCCGATTCCAGGAACGGAAGGGGCAATCGCGATAAATTTATGCCGGTTTCGTAAATATCCAGGGTACACCGTGCTCCTCATGATTTTATAAACGTGCACCGTCCAGGTTTCGCCAGGTATACATACGTGCGTGCCCGTGTTATGATCTATGCGTCATGGTCTCCGCCATGAAAAAAATGGAGGTGGGAGGGGAAAAAAAAAAGGAAAAAGACGAGATTGGATGATGCGCGATGAAAATTTCAAACCCGCCCCAAAGGATTTCACTTCGATGCGCAAGATGTGACAGATTTTTGCCAGATTATTATTACATCGTTCCTATTTATCGCTCCATTGGTACGCCTCGCGCTCGTACCAAGTAAAAGAAGATTTATTTTATTAACTTCTTCTTCTTCTTCTTCGAAGAAGAAGAAGAAAAAAGAAAGAAATATCCATCGTCCCTCCCCAAATTGTTGATCCCTTGGCAAAAATTGGAAGTATAGAATTATTACGCATATTTACACGTATACTATATACGAACACGTATATATATATATATATTACGGTTTGCGTGTGTTTCACGAACGAAATTGGAGGGTCGTCTCGAATTAAAAACTAATCCAATATTAGCTTCGGTCTGGCGAGGCGATGCGATGCTCAACAATTATTCCTAAACCCCCTCCCCCCCCCCACACAACGTGTTTCCACGCACGGATGGAAAAGCATCCCCTCCAACCACCGCCTATGCGCACGTACACACATACGGTTGGCCGCAAAGGAGGAGGGTTATGCGAATATTATTCACAACGATCGAGCTAATATTTATTATCGCGTTAAGAAGTTTATCCCTTGCGATATTTTATATTCGCAGTTTTTCTCTCGGTTAAGTTGTCGTTTTCTTCCTTTTTTC